CGCTCAATGGCTCAATCGCATCGCTCTCCAGGCAACACCGTAAGGAGGAGCAACCTGCCATTTCGATATATCATAGCTGTGTTTGTGCCCTCACTCATGGTCCAGACTTTTTTCAAATAGGACATGAAGTTTGTCTGCAGCGAGTGTTTTGGTAGAAACTGCGCCTCCCATTCATTGTAATAGGAAATGACCACAGACAAGTGCGCACACCATCTTTGGATCTTGAGTGTGACGCGATCGGGAGGGGGAGGCGGTCGCACTGGGGGCGGCGCGACACGGCTCGGGCCCGACAGTGCCCCAACGGGGTCCTAGTTGTAGGTTTTTTTCGCTGAAAATCGTGCTTTTCTGGAAAATTCCGTGAGAGCTGTGAAATATCTAACCGATCAGAGTTTCGATTCAACTCAAATGAACATTTTTTTCTAACTGATGCACATTTTAGACAAACCATGGCAACCGTGGACCGTTCAGGTCCGGTCAGGACACTTCAGCATCAACGGTCACAGCTCACTGGAAGAGCAGGACAGGGACAGCAGTCTGACTCAATACAGTGATTTTAATATTTTCCTCCATAAGATTATAAAACTCAGCACAGTCTTATCGTAATTAAAAATTTTTAAAGTTTATCTTTAATTCCAATGATTGTAAAAATGTGGTTATTTTACACTAGTGACAGTTTGACTGTTGCCCTGTATGGATATTCTGCCACAAGAGCAGCACAAAAAACTTAAACTTAAAAAAACTTTTCTTACAAAGCACACCTTAATTCTTAAAGCCGGTTTATCTGTTGTATTTATGAAGAAGGAATATCTTGTAATAAAATCACTGTGGGGTTGCCATGCATAATGTAGTGTGTAGTTAATAAAACTCGGCAGTGGAGGGCAGTGTAGGAGAAATCAAGCTCGTTAGGATGTTTTGAGGAATTATCAGTAGGAAAATTATGAGACTGTCTCCAAATAAGTGCAGATTTATTTGTACATTCCCACAATTTACTTTTCAGTATCAGCTCAGAGAATCCTTATATGACCCATATATGAAACTTAAATCACAACAGCAAATTTTATTTTGCCGTAGTTTGCTGCATATATTGTATGTGTACAAATTTATACATCAAGAATGCAGAGTTATCTTGACAGTCTTTGATTATTGAAAAGTTATTCTGTAAGGATTGCTGTAATAGTTTGTACCTTAAACTTTATTTGAAGAATGAATTATCCAAGTCATCCATGTCAATAAAAAAGATGAAAACTAATTCATTACATGGCTTAGTAGAAAATAGCAGCCATGATTGATACACAATGAAGCATGTCAGAGGGGATCAGTTAGTTAAATTCTACAAACCAAGAGTGGTAAGGCGTCACAGTTTGATTAGCTGTGGTTATTAAATTGCAGTAGTGTAATGGATGGACAGAGTAGGAGAAAACAAACACTGACCCACTGTGCACTTGTATATTTAGCTTTGTGTCATGTTGCCACTAAAATGAACAGTATCAAAGTGATAGTGGCAAGAACAGTTTTGAAGCAGTTCCTGCAAACTCTCTTCTGTCACAGCTATAGCCTTACAGATTACAGATCCCAGTGCACTAAGATTGCAGTATATCTCCAATGCAGTGTGTAAACATCATACTGTATGTAATTGGTTGTGATTTATTTGCCCCGGGGTCAGGGCGGATGTTGACTTGTGAGGTAGAATGATTTAATGATCTCTAAAGAGGCACCAATGCCCTCTGTAAACCACAGTGTCTCTTAGTGGGTTACCATATGAGCTGGTCTACCCACTTAAATCTTTACAACAGAGGGTTTTCACTTTACTTTTTCCGCCTCTTTGATGCAACTTTTATTTGCAAATTTGTTGTTATAGTGAATGAGAGTCTACTTTGATATTAGGCCAAACTCTGGGATTGTGGTTCCATTTTTGTAGGCATAACAAAGGCTAACTGTACTTGCACTGGCATTTTCATTGCAAACGATGAGAAATAAAACACAACTGTACTAAAAATCTACATTAATAATACCACGATCAAATCTAATTGGATTATTAAATTTCCAAATACAAACGACCAACCATGGGAAAATACTGATTAAAATAAACCATGACAGATCAAAAAAGACAATGAAACATGACACAGAATAACAGCAGAGAAATTCTCTCTGTGAAGTTTTCCGTAAATAATATTTTCTATAATCACAACTTCCTCTTTGTGTAACTTTGATCTTACTCATAAACCAAACAAGTCTCTTTCTGAACCAGGGGTGTGTCCAGACTTTTTGGTTAAGGGGGCCCAACCAGGGAACCAACAGGGGAGGCATGAAGAAAGTGAGCGCACATGCAAATGGATATATTTTAGTTATTGTATTTGTATGTTCTAATTTCATCTACAACTTGCACCAAGGTACAATAAAGACCTTATATTCCTGCATATCATAATTTTACAGTACAGAAAGATATCAATTTAATCTCATTAGTATATTCTTTAAGGACTCAAAAAGATATTTTCTTAAAGTTACAATTTAAAGAGCCGAACATTTTTCTAGCAAACTTCAGCACAGTCTGCCAACAAACATTTATTGGTGGTGTACTAGGAAAATCGCCAATAAATGCCTTAATCGTCAAATTTATTTACTTCATTTTGTTGTAGAGTCTGCCTCTGACCAGCAGATAGCCATTCGTAATTTAGGATTTTGGGGTGGCACTTGCGGTAGCCAATCAGATTTCAAGGGGGGCTCACACCTCATTTTTATCTGAATATGTCTTTGTTCTGTTTAGTCATATCTCATGCAAAGGATCTTGTGAATCCCTTCAGCCCAACAAAAAACAACCCAACCAGTCAACCGCCAGAGACCACCATTAATACATTAGTGTTCAAGATTACTGTGCTGACTTTTACAGAAAACAGATAATCGGACTTTATCTGTTTCAGTGGCATCAAAAGTGAGTTTTACAGTCTAATGAAGACTGAAAATTGCAACACATCGAGCGGAGAAAGACATCCGCTGCTTAATTGAATCATCATGGTTGAGCAGGTTTGAGATTAATTCCACGTAAGGAGGAGATCAAAAGCGGGCCGGTTAGAGGGATGTCGAGGGGGATAAGAGCACTGAGGCTTGTGGGATAATCCCATTAAGGAGCTGCACATTTATTCACACCGAGGATCCACAAATGTACAGTATGTAAAGGATTAGGGCTAAACAGTTGGAGATAGAGAGGGGTCACAGTCAAACCTATTTTAGTACATTATGGCATGTTTTTCTGGGCTCTCAGTATTAAGACTTAAATTATTATTTTGAGCAATAATCAGCCACTATGAAAGCTGCTTCAGAGTTTGTCTCTGGAACAGATTGGATTATAAATATATAATTATGAATAAGAAAAATGCATGATTCATTGCTCAGTGTTGATTGCCAATGACATATTTATACACTGGATTAAACATACACATTTACATGTACAAACATGTCTTAGTGCTTGGTTAACAATGACATCACATTTAATTATAATTCAAGCATTTGTACTAAAATAGGGTTTCAAGTCCATATTTCTTTGCATTAATAGCATCAAACTTAAAAATGGACTTCAGTCATATACCAAGGTGTTTTTGATTACAGTTTGGATCTGGTGATGTTCAACACAAATTCAACAAAAGTTCAAATAAAACAAGGAACAAGAGTATCTCTACTATGTTTAATGCATTGACCATTAACAACATAGACCAAGTAGACCCGTGATTACATGGAAAATATCTCTACATTTTAATTCAAATCAATCTGATTGGAGATATTGGTTTAAAGTGTTTATATGGCATGTGATTTGATCAGGTCTTGTGTTTATATGCAACTACATATCAAATCAGAACAACAGTGTAAAACGCATTAAACAGAAGTTATCCCCTCTTGTGGAAAATGTGAGGCTGTTGAGTTTAGAAAGACCATCATTGTTTTTGGTCATTATTTATAATTGCTTTAATCTGACTTTATGCAGTTTGTCATGCTCTGAAGTGAGTACTGTGTTGTTTGAGTGTTTCTGCTACAAACAAACTGCTTTTTTCTAGTATGACTTCAAAGCTGCCATCATCTGCTAATGGAGTTTGATTTTGATCCGTTTATAATGAGTCGTACACCGCCTTTGCAGATGTGTGAAGTTTCTTTCATTTTTGGCCTGTTAGTCTAATTAAAGTGTTTATATAGTGCATTTCTCTGTTTGGGCTGTTTATAAATGGGTTAACATTCTCTATGTAAACACAGCTAGTCTCAGAGGTTTATGAAGATGTGTTTTGAATCCAAGTGCTGTTGGTTGCCACACAAGAAATACTAACTCAGGCACAGTGGAGGTGGCACTAAGACTGGCCTCAAGCCCCTTATAAACCAAAATCCATTTTAGCAACAGGCTGTAAACACATTTATTTAACTGTAAGGTTTAACTGTATATGAGGCAAAGTGGAGATTCCTTGGCTTCAGGTTTTAGCACCAGAAGTTGCTGCTTGTTCGTGGCATGTTAAAATTTTATATAAACAGACAAGTATTTGGAAGTAAACCAGTGTGTGACCAAATTTAAACCTGAAAATTTAACACCAACAAATTGTTATCATTTTAATCACAAGTGCAACTCCATGGTGGATTTAGAGGAATTATTCAAGAGGTCAGCAGGTAATCTGGAGTCATCCTCAAGGTAACATAATGGCTGGATGAAACTTCATGACAGTCCATCAAAAAGACATTGAGATACTTTTACCTTTCAGTCCATCCTGGTTTAAAAGAGTGAGATTTTGATTTCCTGACCAACATCAATTTCTCCTCATCCTCAACAATGTTTCTAATTAGAAAGTTTTTGCTTAACTGCTTATTTATGTTATTCGAAATCCAGTCCCATGTAAGCACTTCATGTATTTTCATCGTATTATCAACTGGTCTAAAGAACATGACCACTTTTCCTAATTTAAAATGTGAAAGTAATGAACCTAAACGGGAAAAATGAATGGATCAGTAAGCAGACCATTAAAAAAAGATGCTTTATCATGCAAGACAAATTTATTTTTAAATTGTCAGGGACATATAAACAGGAGAGACAGCAGCGGTGTAAAACTTCTTGTTAACAACCAAGTTTGAAATTAATGTTCTTGCCAAGAAAAATAATGTCACATGACAAACTGCAAAAAAGAAACATTTGAGTCTGCCCTCATCAACAGTTCTTCACATAAATATAATCTTATCAGAGCTTAGATAATTAACAAACAATACAAAATTAATGATACTATTTGTCAAACTGATGTATTTACAGAGATTTGAATGGCATGATTGTTTGTTTGAGGTCACTCCATACTGCAGAAGTTATTCAGACTGTTCTCGGGGCTCTTGGGCAGCTCATGTTGTTCCAGTAGTCGGTACTGAAAGGAAACACGGTTGACATAGTTCCCACTGGACACCAGCCTCACCACTGAGTTATCACAACCAATCTTCATCTGAGCTGGAAGAGCAAAGAGAAGAAACATAAAGGCTGTACGCTCGCACACATACTGAGCTTTTTTGTGAAGCCGGCTTTTATTTACCCTGATCTTAACCTTTGCATTGAGTCTACACAGACCTCGCTCCAGAGCACTCACAAGAAGCCTGTAAGTGTCTGTATGTGCTCCGTTTATTTTTTAATAAATACCAGCTAGTGTTATTTCACACTGTACAGACCATGAGGTCTGCCCAAAGATTATGGTCCCCATCCCAAAGATGCTGATTCCAACTAGCTTCTGCCTCAGAAACCAGCAGACGGTGGAGTTGATGTGGGACCTTAATGTCCTGTTAAAAGCTAGCTGTCACTCAAATCAGCTCTTCTCTGATTTTTCCCAATTCTGTAAAAATTTGGCTTTAATTTATTATGTTCAGGCATTAACCTCAAACTATCACAAAGAACCAGTGACCCCGATACATTTCAATTGTTTCCAAATTTCCTTGATAAAAAAAAAGCCAAACAGGCATCAGACTGGCCTGACCTGAATCAGTCAGCTTGGAAACCTGTCTGTATATAGGGGGAGACCAGAAGCATCGACCAAATAAAACCAAGCACAACCTCAATGAAGCTTCTGGATCCAAGACTACATCTGCAAACAGTACATTTCTTATTGGCAGCATATTCTGAGCTGTCCACACTGACAGATAAAAGGGCCTCTAGCTGTAAAATTGGGATACACAATATTTTGATCCAAATTGTTGGAAAAATTAAACTTGAGGGTTTTTGTCAACACACATGGTGAAATGTGCTGAACTGTGACACAGTAACGTTTAGTCAAACTAGAGGGAGGCTGAAAAACAGGGTCAGCCTGGCTAATTTAAGTAGGCTAAGGAGAAGCACATTGCAGCATTAGACACACTTCAACACTTAGTCCTAACAATTAATTTGATTGGACAAGAGGAATTACATGAGTGCTGACATATAAAACATCATAACAACACTAAGAATTTTGTTTATATCTGCAGTGAGTTAATACCACATCAACACTCCTGTTAAACAGCTGTTCTCTTAATAACTACAAACATGGACACATCTCCAGAGAAAAAAGTAGAATTTAGCATGAATCATTAACAGTATATACACTTTTAGGACTATTGAATCACAGTAAAATCATACTCAAGGCTGTGCTGTTGTTTAGCATCAGCACAAGACTACACAAAACATAAATATCTAATGACATATACAGCATCCAACTCACCCTTGATTAATATTGCTTACATAAGAAACTGAAACTCAAGGATTTACACCAGAGCTTAATTGGAAGAAGGTCTGATACTCACCAAGCCCAGTGAGGGAGAAACAGAGGTCAGCGACAGGGAACATCTTAGAGGTGTCTACTCCGTTTCCCCCCAGCAGCTCAACATAGTCACCTGACCCTGAACAGCCCAACCACGTCTGTCAAGAAAAACATAAGCAACAGAATACTCTGATAATGGAGTAGCTAAAACAAGCAGATAAACAATATTTACATTCAGTATTTATGGGGTTACACTTCAGCAGCTCCGTTTTACAGCTTATGTTAGTCCAAACAAAGAGCTCACAGGGGAAGACAGCAGTCAGTGCTGATTCTCAGTCATTTAAAAATCAATGTATAATAACCAAGTTTGTTTTATAGTAACACATCAATGTCTGCATTAAAGTTTGTCAGTCATAACTATAAGACATTAGTACTAAGAGGAATATTATTCATACTGTAAGCTCTGTCCATCCTGGTTTCTCTTTTATCACATCATTTTTGCATAAAATAACATTATATGTTTGAGCCACGTCCGAATCAAACGGATCAAACCGTCTTTGAAATTCAACTTTGGAAAACATATCAGTTTCCTCATATCAGGCTGTTATATTTGGCCTAGTTCTTACAGTTTTTACATAATGTCAGCGTCTGGCAGCCAGAGTGACCCTCACTGCCAACATCCTCAGGAGTCTCTGTGGTTTCTTCTGTCTTTCATCAACATGATTAACTCAATTCCTGCTTTTCTTTAACTAACAGAGAGTTTGATTTCATTTGATGTTTCTCAATGAAAGTTAATAAACAGGTTTTAGTTGTTAACAGTATTTTGAGAGGATTTTCATATTTTAAATATTATCCTGATCATGTTTCCTTTGATCTGTTTTCAAACTCGTTGTAAGTCCTATTTTGCAGCTGTTCAAACACGATACATTGAATATGTAACGTCCTCTGACGTGTAAGCTTTAAACTGTTAGCTGTATTAGCTTTTATTAATACCAATACAGTTTTGTAATTGCCTTCAGCCTCATTCACTTTTCATATCAGGCCCACCACACAGAATATATAATACACAAAATAATGTGAAGTAACAGTTTGAAGAAAACGTGTTTATGAGTAGTTGTGTTCAGTCTGAAACAATATCCCTTTTAAGATTGTAAAACACATCACTGTGGTGACTTTTAAAGTGATAAATTAATCAGATGTAGTAAAGCTTCTATGCAACCTTTGTTTTGGGCTCCTCTGGCTCCAGACAAAAATATCTGTCTCTCTCAAAGCTTAGTGCTCCTGGTACATCCATGTCAACAATAAGGAGTTCCTCTAAAATCTCAACAAGCTGAAAGTCTTCCCACTCTTCTGCTTTCACTTGAAACCTCTCTTCCTTACCTTTGAAGTGAGTTTCATTCACAGAATTATTACGATTATTAATATTACGATTAGACAAGTGTCAGTCTTTAAGTATATAAATCTTTTTATCTACAGGATTTGAATTGTTGTTCAGGTGCTCTCAGTACCATGTGTAAACATTACAACCCGTACCTGGGATTTCATGAGCACCAAAACCTCTGCTTATAGACTCTTAATTCACAAGTTGTATGATAGATTGAAATACACAAAAAATAAACTCAGAACAAAACAGCTGGTGTGTGAAAATCTGGATTAGTTGCAGAACTGGTTATGTTGAAGATCATACTGAATAAATTTTGTCATTATTTTTGCAACAACTGTTGTTTAAAGACTGTATCACACTTGAGGTTGTTGTCCTAAAAATCAGCACGGCTGTGTTTATCCTCGAGCCTGTGGCTTTATGCCCAAACCTGATGGTGCAGATATGCAAACAATCAGAACAAAAGTATTTCTGCTGGGATGATATTGCCTAATTGACCTTAATGATTGGACATTCTGGAAACTTTTACCTTTAGTGCTCTACTTTGTACACTAGGGTGACTCATTGCACCCCCTACATAGCCATCGGGCAAATGCACAAGTGTTATCGCTTTTCCTCATGAGACATTTTCCTGTAATTCTAATCAGCCTGTGATGCACCTGTCAAGCGGGAAACATCCACACGGGTCTGCTAACTGTTTGCCAAATGAAACATTGATGCTGGACCAGCCTTCACAACCTCGAATAATTTTCCATGACAAAACTTTCAGGAATTCACTACTGTTGTTTTTCAGTCTGCTATTTCTACGATATCCAAGTGATGGGAAAGATTGAAACTTGGATTTGTTTAAACAAGAAAAGTTGTGTATTTACCAGACTTCAGGTAAAAAGTTCATGAGGACTATGAGGGTTCGGCTGAATCTCTGGGCTCCCCTTTGTCATCTCTCGTAACATGATCATAGATATCCACAGTGTCTAGATTCCTCTCATGTTATGGTATTTAAAAAAAGTTATAATGATTGATCAGTTTCATAGAGTTTCGCAGAGTTTGTTTTAAAGCCACTGTGGGTAGTTTTATGTTGTGTTGGTTCTGGTGACCCATATGGATCAACCAGAATGAAAACCTTCACAATCACCATTAGTTAGCTTCCAAAAGGTACCAACATGTACCAGTTCAATGCTTCCTGTCAAAGCCCTTGATCATGTTTGCTCCAGTGCCGCAGTAAATGTCTGACTGTTATGCAAACAGTTAAGCTCCTTTGTTTGAAAATTTCACTCGATTTCAGTGATCGGTCTTCTTGCTCATGACTTCATTTAACATGAAGGGCATCAGTATAAGAGCAGCTATATTTTAATTAAGTTAAAAATGCCTGAGTGCCTCTAAGTTCTGAAATCATTGATTAAAAAGCTCAGCTAATGTAACTCTCACATCCCAAAAAACTGCTCTAGCAAAAATAACTTCTTGACTTTAGTCCTTTGAGAGGCATTTTAGATTTCAGACTGGATAAAAACCTGTGATTGTACATCAGTTATGGTCAGACTGATACAGAAACTTCAACACAACAATCAAACCTTCATGTTACTTTGTTCGGCTTAGTTACTGCAACTTAAAGCGCTCAGCAAAGCCACAATCATCCTTTCATGTGTCTAGTTAGGTGGTTAAAAATATATGTGCATGACATCCTATTTGTAACCATGCCTATTACTGATTACTGATTACTAAATGACCTGATTAGTCTTTTTGAAAATATGTAACAGGGGAAAACAGGCGTAACAGAGCACCGCAGCAGCCCTTTGTGATTTGCCAAAACAAATCAGAGGTTCTGGCAGCGTTTAAGAGGTCTGGAACAGTTTCTGCTCTGATTAGAGTTCATGTTTTGGTAAACAGCTTTAAAAAGAGGCTGACTGATTATAATTCTAATCTGAAACTAATCTAGATTTGTAAGAGTAGATAAAGACACTAAGACACCTCAGCTCTACTTCTTCTATAGCCTTACTCAGTCTGTCAAAATCTCTTAGTTTGGGGTCAATATGGTCAAACTGGGGTTAGCTGTCCCTTTAAAGTACAATATGCATTCATTGAATGAAAGAGGACTTGAATTAAACAGTAAAGGGTTCTTTTCTTAGAAAAACGGGGGTGTTTAAGTGTCTCACCTGTGGGCTGAGCTCATTGCTTTTGGCCTGCCCCAGGCTCAGCTCTGTCAGTCGGATCTCCACGGGGTAGATGATGGAGAAACTGCAGTTCCTACGCTGGTGTGGCATCACCATGGTAAAGCTGCCCTCTGGACTCTGGGACATAATGTTACAGGCTAAACCCACACACATACGCACGCACAAACACACACACATAAACACACAGGGGGAGAGGATTTGAATTAACTGTTCCCCATCAGCAGAGAAACTCATTACTGACACCTCATGTCACAAATTGGACATAATCAAGGCTGACTGCGGGGAGGGGACACAATTAAGGCTGAGCATGGAAATCCAATCGCAGTTCTGATGACAGAGATAAGAAAATAATGAAATTTGAATTGATAACAGTATGGTAGACTAGACAGACACCAACAGGAGTCGGAACACTTTAGTCGTGAGGGCATGTTGTTCATTAGGAGTCGTATTTCAGGAAAAGGAGCGTGCCGATCAAAGCTGATGAGAGGGTTAACATCATGGAGCGTTCTTTGTTTAACAAATTTTCAACATTTTAAGATTGGATCTATGACTTTTAATTAGTGTGTTTAGTATGTATGTACCATGAATTCCTGTAGGGCAGGAAGAATAAAAGTGATCTGTTTTCACTCTTCTTCCCACTGCGTTACAGCTTATTCAAAGTGGACTGTTGCTAAAAGAGAGCTATACTTTAATTGTCTTGTCTAAAACTTCATTTCTCAGGATGTTTGTTGCTTATTTATGTTTATCGTGTGTCACTGCATGCACAGGGATCTCCATCTGTTTATGTGGTAAACAGCCAGCAGGTGCAGCTCAGTCAATATTTGAATAAACCTCACACTGGCCTGTGATTTATGTTGTTTTCTTTCAGATGATCTATTCAAACTCTCCTTTTTTCTGTGGCTGTGCCTTGTCTGTGTCTGTCTTTGTCTCAGGGGCCTCACTGTGTTGCTGTGTGATTGTGTTATGTAAAGAGCATCTTTGTCAAGCAGCTGAAAAAGCAGCGCATCCCCCTCATTTCATCTCAACCTGTCGCTGATTCATGCTAGACCAGGTGCAAATGACAAGAAACGCACACATGCATGCACACTGGTCTGTCACTCACTTTAAAACACAATAATTTAGACGACAGGCCTTGGTCCCTGTTTTCATTTGATTTTACTTAGATTTTTGCAGCTCTCAGGTGACAAGGATGTGGACTCACGGAAAGGGTTGTGTAACTTTTGGACAGTGAGAGTGAAGCTGCTGTCAGCGTTGTTGATGCGGAAAAAGACCATGGCGACGTTCTGCGAGGAGCGGCTGGTGGCTCCTTGTCCTCTGGAGGAGCAGAAGTCTGTGTAGCGCTGATGCAGAGGAAGCGGGTGGTCCTGTCTGCTGGGAAATTTCTCTCCTTTCAGAACCCAGCCGTCGAAGATCTGAAGGATAAAGATACATGATATGAAGTCAAGTATGCAGGCTTTTATCTTTAAAATATACAATCAACACAAGGAAATCTTTCCTCTGTGTTTTCATTCATGGTTTCCCTTACCCAATGTTTACAGTCACATAGTTCCTGATCTCTTCAGGGGAAACAACGGAAAAGTTAGGAGCCAAAAGGGATTCATTCACACACAAACCTGACATTGATACGCAGGGGTGAGCAGCAGCTGTGTTTTTCTCTTTTAGGATTAATTTTAACACATTATGAACGGTGGGATCCTTGTCAACAAGAGCAGATGGGGAAAATTGTATTTTCTGCCTTTTTGACACATACCATAATAGTTTTATTCACATTAAATACTTGAAACAAACACACAAACATTTAAACCCGATCACTTTAGTTAGTGTTCATAAAAACTGTGAAGCTGGGATCTCTAATCAGAATGATTTTAACCTGGTTGTAAAACAAACTGCACATGTAAACACAGCTGTTAAAAGCAATGTTTTAAAACTTAGAAAAGTGGCTAGTAGCAATAGAAAAGCTAAATGGTGGCTAATTTTTTAAGAAAAAATGTCTCATTTTGACTGATAAAGTTTACCTGCAAGGAAAATAATAACAAAAATATTCAAAAGAAGGGAAAATACAGCTAAAAAAGGTTCACAACATGTTTTAGTCAGTCTAAAGTGAAAAGCAGTTTGTCTTTTTGAGTCGTCAAAACTGTGAGTTTCTTTAAAAATAAAAACAAGAAAGGTGTTGGATGCTTTTATTCAGCTCATTTTCTATAATCATGATGTTTACAAGTTACCTTCATTATCTGGTTCAGTTTAAGTTTTCTACTCCATTCCAATACTACTGCAGCTTTCTTTTCTGTATTTCATGTTATTTCAGGGGTATGTCTTTTTGCAATTCACCCTTACACACTTTCTATTTCATATTTCACTCACATTTAATGCTGCGTTGAGTTGTACAAATTATTACATTGTAATTTTGGAACAAAGCAGCTTTGGATTTTCTTACAGGGTTCAATTGAGTTCGATCTTATTCGATTAACATCAGTGTTAACCAGTGGAGCTGAATATCAGACATTTAACCCAAACACAGTGACAAACTATAGTTAGTAGCGAGCTCTAAACCCCTGTGTGTCATGGGTAAAATCAGAAAAATTTGCGACACTAAATTAGACGCTGAATTAGAATATGCCTCTGAGTGCAGGATGATTCATCAACATGCTCGTTTTCCAGTATATGACAAACTCTGAGGCTCCACTATGATATAGGGGTACTTCTTTATTTGTTACTCTTGGGCAAGGCATTGGTGCATATAAGAATTTTATGGTATATTTAGGTGTTCTTTCTCAGAGTATGAGCTTAATATGATTTACAGCAGCATCTATACTGCTGTGTGATGGATCCTTGTTAATTAAAACTATAATCCGACATAACTTCCTATAAATATCCTGTAAATCTCATTAATTCAGACAGCGTGTTAAAAAACTGAGCGATGAGCAGTTTCATTTGTTCAGCATCTTTGAAGGGACTGATCTGAGCAGGTTAGATTTAACAAACCTGTAAAATGAGTTATTACGATAAAGTCAACTCATTCTTTCTCTCTGCTATTCCCATCCCCACTCTGGCCCACACGGCTCAAAACATGGAAGTCATTGGCAGGCTTGGCTTCAGAACCAAAGCCTCTTCTTCCCACACTTGCTCTGGGAAATGTGACCAATGCTGAGACAATCCAGTGGGGTGTTTGGCCCTTAAATGCCGCCTTAACTGTGTTTGGCACTATTCTAATCAACACAAGAAGATAAAACAGAATTCAGGGGTTCAACTTCCTGTCTCTCCCACTTGCAGAGGGGGTTGAGGGAGTGTGGGTGTTGTTTTCAGTGAGTGGAGCCAACCTTGATGAAGTCCCCGGCGCTGCAGTCGATGTTGACGTCAGACAGCTCCAGGCTGATGACCTCACTGGGCTCGGCGATGATGAAAACGGCGCAGGCCAGCTCGGGTTGAGACGTGACAAAGGTGAACTGGCCCTCAGTGGCAAGCATGTCCAAACACCCTTAGAAAAAACATACGAATCTAAAGTCATCCTCAGTCATCCTCAGTCATCTGAGGCAAGTTGATGAGTCCTGATCTTTTGTGTATGCATCGGTGTGTGTGAGTGCTGTATGTGTTGAATGGGGGTTGGGAGGGTGGTAGGGGTTTGGGATTTGTATTTTTATTTATTTTATTCAATTGTTTTTTAATATCCTTCGCGAAAGTTTTTCAAAAGCACTTTAACTTCAGGTATTTTATGCTGCCTGTCAAAAATGACCCACCTTAATAGCCTTTATTTACAAATGAATGACTTAACTCAGAGGGACAGTTGCACTGAAACAATATGAGCTTTGTTTTTCCCTAAGAAAAAATGTTCATCACCAGGTTGGAAAGGTTGCATCAGTAAAATATATGGAAGTTTAAGAAAAAAAAAAAAAGTATTCACTCTTGGAAAAAGACACACTTATGTCCAAAGAATTACTCCAAGTGTGTTTTGTGTAAACAAAAGTTCCCCACTGATTAAAAGAGGTCTTTCTGCACTGTCAAGACCGATTATATTCAGTTAAGTCCTCATGTGTGGATAAACATGTGAAGTGCTGAGTGTTGAACTTGTCATTTGTGCTCATAAACAGAAAATTCATCTACAAGTTTCTGTTCTCATAGATGTGAAAAATCCCCATGCATTGATTTCTGACATTTCACAGCCTGTTAGTCTTACTTTGTGGGCTAAAAAAAACTTCATCACGTTTTTCATAAGAATTGTTGACCTTGTATTAGTGAGGTGAGAGTGTCTTTCTTTAAAGCTGCACTTACTGAGAGGTCGACGGAAAACAAAGTCCCCTGTTTCTCTCTTCTGGTCCAGACTGAGCAGAGAAAATAATCCGTCTGAAGCCTCGATGTCCTGATGATGAGAATTTTGATAAAGTCAAATGTTAGCTTCCGTACAGTACAGGCTAAAACTTTAACGACACCTTGATAAACTGAAGCAAAGTGGGATTATTGATCCACTAAGCAGACTCTCACCTCAATGTAGCGGCTGAATCCAATCCGTGATGTGAGGGAGATGAGGAAGAGGAAGATCTGTGCACGCAGACACGCAGGCATGATGAAGGTCGTCTCTGTGTATGTTTTCTGAAGCGGAGGAGAAGAACTGCGCTGCCTGAGAGCTGCCAGCTTTTATAGCAGCACAGACACACGCAGACAGACACACACAGGCCTGTGTGAGGGGGTCACTGATCCAGTCTGAGTCATGAGTGAAAATCTGTCATTTACAGCTGTGTCAGGTTACACTCTGCTGTACATCAACTAATGATCATGTTTGTTTGTTTTAGTCTGATCGACGATGACTACCGGATCAATAATCGGAACAGGAACAGGAACATTTACGGTGTTTATGGTGGCATGTAAAGCAAAAAAAGGGTTTAAAGGACTGAAGTTTTCATTTAAGTATGCTGATATAAAAAAGTGCATTTAACTTTATGAAATGTGCAACATATATGAAATTTGTTCACTAACTTTGCAAACTAAGTGTAAACAGGCTATATAGGCTACTGAAGACCAATGTACGGAAGACAATTAGGGACAATAAAAACAAAATCAAACATTTTTTAACTCTTTTTTTTTTTCAGAAGTCAGACTTTTTTTTCACAATTCTGAGATCAAAGTCAGAAATCAAAATCTCAGGATTACAAAATCAGAATTGTGACTTTAATCTCAAAACTGAAAAATTAAGAATTGTGACTTTAATCCCAAAATTGAAAAATTAAGAATTGTGAGTTTAATCTCAAATTTCTGAGAAAGTGGCCAGAGTTCTGTTTTCAATCATACAATTATGAAAAAAAAGTATGAGCTAAAAAACTTTTGATCTTTTTTTTTGGCCTTAATCTTCTTCTGTATCCACATGTTATATGTATTAAGCTATGGTACAATGCTATATATTTAGAGTTGGAAAAAACTAGGACAAAAAAGGAAGTTACACTTTGTCTTCACAGAAACGGTCCCTGACAGCCTAATTCAACACAATATACTCACTTTACATTCACAGATTGGATATATCATGAAAATAAATGTTCTGTTCTGTTTTTACATGCTTATGTAATACAGCATGAAACACTTGTGCCCATGAGCAAAATACAAATACAAATATAACTTTATTGTCTGTTCAAAAGAGCAGAAATTTGTCTTTACTTGTTAAAAACTCATTCAGTAAAACACACACAACAAGCGTAACACATCAAGAGGAACAGCATAAAAATTACAATCACCTACAATTCTGCACCCCCACAATGTCATAAAGCAGATGCTTTTTCCAAACACAAAGTGCATCTAGGAGTAAACAAGGACAAGCAAAGATGTAGATAAGATGAGACAACATTAGTGCCACAAACTGCTTCAGGTTCAGGTGCAACGCTAGAGGCAAAGCTTTTTTTACCCTGTCCCCTGCAGTGAGCTGGATTCAGTTTTCATTAGCAGACGTATCAAATCTGACCTTAATAAAGATCCTGCTGTGTTTCTGAATGAGAGGGCAGTGAAGGATTATCTTAACTACATCTTTTAAGTAGGAAGGATTACCATATCATACCTTTGTTATGCACTGTACTACATGTCAGCCAAGGAGGAGTAGCAGATGGCTGTCCACCAATGACTTTGGTTCTACACAAGATTTCTTTGTGTCTGAGGTCAGTTTTTCTTGACTCTGTAATAGACTTAGAGTAAAATGTTAATCATCTTTTAATGTAAATGTTCATAAAAATCTAACTCTAAACTTAGTATCTTATAGCACTCAAAGATTTGCACCTGATTAAATCCTGATGAATTTAGTGAAAGCTCCTGTGAGGAGTTATTTTGACATTTACGAAACAGACTGAAATTCCTATCATTGCCTTTTTATGAAACATAAAAACAAATAAGAGCATCAAAAGCAAGACAGACCAATTTCATGATTTATTTTTTATGATTGAAACCCGGGGAGGGTAGGTGTCAACCATGTAGCTATAGAGACAGTTTTCATTTTAAGTATTCACAATTTATGATCATTTTACTGTCAAAAGTCAGAATTGGGATTTTTTTTATTATTACTGTCAAAAGACACTACTTAAGCATAGAGAACAAGTGAAGACTGAACAAACATGACTCAACCTAAAAGTCCCTCACATGAGCTTAAAGTGTCGGTGTGTGACTGATAAAGTTCAATAATAATCATAATAATAATAATAACATATTTATATTATTGCGCTTTTCAAAAACAGTTGAAAAGTGCTCTATGGTTAAAAACTGTTGATAATTGTTGGCTGTATGGTTGTGTTTCTTGCATATTTGTTTTGAGATGTAGAGTGAGAAAACCTTTAAGGCACTACCTTATCTCTACTCACAGATGCATTCATGGCAGAAGACAGGATTTTGGGTGTGGGTGGGGGGGTCCCGGTTCTGAGTAGGTTGTACATATTTCTCCTCCTGGGCTGCAGCAGTGTGTGGGGAGAATGAGGCAGAACAGATAGGTCTAAATGCAATCCTGAATCCCACCACAGTTTATCCGAGGACTTCGCATAAATGAGCCCAAACTGTGCATATGTATATGATCCAAGAAAGATGAACTGCACTAGAAGGTAGTTTTGTTACTCTCTAGATCCACATTATCAGGCAGTAATTGACCGTTAATGCTCCACCTGGGTTACTGAAACCAAAACTAAAGCCTCCAGCAGCGATGTGACCAAAACAACAGAGTGTCATTTTAAACTTCACAGGAGCAGATACAGCCGAGCTGAAAGCTAGAAACCATCAGAGGCTGTGATGTAACATGGTTTGTATAGTAACATACTCAAATTCATTAAGATGAGGGCACTTATGAGCATGTGCGCTGCTGTTGTTAAAGGTCAAACTCAAACCAGCTGAGTGTAAGAGATGATGATTGTTCTGTCAGCTTTTATTCTGAAAATCTGCCCTGCAATTATCCTGGTCTGATAATAACTGACATTTTCCTCTTCCACTGCTGAAGGGCTATGACGACAAACACCACACTACCAGGCGAAAATGACGAAATGATAATGAGATTAATGAATAACATTTCAGCCCGCTGTTGTCTCATGCTGCTGACCTATTCAAGGTGTGTTACGTTCATTTATCAGAGAGCATTTTGTTTTATGATCAGTCATTTGACAAAGTGTTTTTGTTGGTAAGATGTCTCAACACATGAGACAGGGTCATGCTGTGAGAGTGTGCAGAAAACAGGGAAAATATCAAAATGCTAAGTGTTTTTGTATGTGCTACAAGTGTTTGCTCCATGTGTGAGCTGTGCTGCTGTGATTCATACTTGAACGGTTTAAATCTAATTTATTAAATGAATCGATAGCCTTTTAATGAACAAGGAGCCCTACAGTCTTGTTAAACCGCTCTAAATGATGAGCAGATATATCAATTCACATTATGCCGGCCTATTCACACTGTTAGGCGTCTAATCTGAGATAATCTAATCATATCCAACCCCACATAACATCCTCCTAATCCCCCCTCTCTTTTACTGAAAATCCTCAATGAATGAATTTTGCCTCCAGCAGCCTTGACATGAACTTTCTTTGCACTCTGGGTAAAAAAAAAAGTAGATGAGATGAGTTTGTAGCCAAAATCAGTCGACATCAAACCACAACGAGTGAATAAGATAGTCTAAAAAGTATCGTATTAATATGTGACATAAAAACGGTGGCAGTAGCTCAGGAAGTAGAGCAGTTGTCCAATAACTGGAAGGTTGGCGGTTCGATTCCCCCCTATCCCGAGTCTGGCGGTGTGTCCTTGGGCAAGACACTTAACCCACCTTGCTCCCAGTGTGTGTCCTCCACTGGTGTATGATTGTGAGTGTTGTGTGGTGGTCGGAGAGGCAGTAGGCACAAACTGGCAGCCATGTTTCCATCAGTCTGCCCCAGGGCAGCTGTGACTACTAAGGAAGTTTACCATCACCAAGGTGTGACTGTGTGAGCGAATGAATGATGTATCCAATGTAAAGCACTTTGAGGGTCCCTGATAACGTGCATTTTATCAGCTGTTAGAGGAGTCACTTTTGGTGTACTAGTTTAGGATCTTCTTCTTATGTTGGTAAAAAAAAATGCAAATGAAATTCACAAAAATAAAATCAGATCAATGGGAAAAAACAAATCTTGATAATCATAATAAATCTTTGTTATAATAATAATGCATCAGATTTCATATAGCGCTTTATCAGAGACCCTCAAAGCGCTTTTTACATTTTTCATTCGCTCACACAGTCACACTTTGGTGGTGGTGGAAACGTGGCTGCCATTCTGCGCCTACGGCCTCTCCGACCACCACCACACAACACTCACAATCATACACCAGTGGAGGACACACACTGGGAGCAAGGTGGGTTAAGTGTCTTGCCCAAGGACACAACGGACAGACTTGGATTAGGGGGGAATCGAACCACCAACCTTCCGGTCATTGGACGACCGCTCTACCTCCTGAGCTACTGCCGCCTGTGTCAAAAAGACAAATACTATAGCACCATCTGCTGGCCACATCAGGAACTTGTTCAATTCTTTTAGTGATTCACACATGCATGAATTACAGGTCACTGAAATTTTCACAAAAGAAAGCTATTATGCTGGTCAGAGTTTTCCTATTTTACAGAAGCAGCTGAAAATTTGAAGGCTTGCTGTCTCGTGTGCTGATGGCCTCAGTCGTCCAGATGTTACAGTCTCCTCTCCATGTGCTCAGAGTTAAATCAAAGTGATTGCTGAGTCCAGACACCACTGTCTTAACCTCGCTTTGTATCCCAGCATGCATCCTCTTTGTGCGCACCTGCTCCCTGGCAAAGATAGCAGAGACAACAAAGTATTTTTGTTTTATAGTGCATTGTGTGTGAGTGTGTGTTGTCCCCTCACACACACACACTCACACACATCTTGTGAGGATCTGTCCATCAACACAGCAGTCCAGCCTGGCTCTCCTCACTGCCTGACTGACCCATTCATCTCCTGCGGGGGCCGTAATGAGCCGACCCTCCCCGTTTGGACCGACCTGACAGAGAGAGATGACTTTAAAGCCTGCATAGATTTTCTCCCTCGTCCCCTCCTCCCCATTCCTCTCCCCTGAAAGTGGTTAATTCAGAGAGCATTAATGAGGAGCGATGGATAACACACTCTTCTTTTAATTACCTTCCAGCGGAGTTCTTCAGGGGAGGCCTGGTGACTCCCATCTGATGCCGGCCTGTTTGTTTGGTTTGCTTTCACAGCAGAAAGTCTTTTATCTCGTGCATTTGGCTGCCAGGATAAATGATAATGAAGCATTTGTAGGTCAGTTGAACAGATATTGTGCATCAAGGTGGAAAAAAAGTGCAAAAATAAGCTTCTCCTTTGGTTTGGTTTTGATTCTCTTTTAATAAGAATATTGGACAATTCTTAATTCTACAAAACTTTTTAAAAATACTTCGTAAAAATAACAACTGGAATACCTTGTGAGAACTGTTTTTGTCCTGGTAAAGCAAAAACACAAGTGTACATCAATGATTGATGATGCATACAGATGATATGAATAGTTTTAAATCTCAGTGTAACTACAGAGTACATTTAAGTACCTTTTTTCTCATTAGGAACACCATAGGACGGTATACAAGGTAGAAGATAGTTGGTGAGATTTCTAAAAGTTCTCAGCTCACATTCCTCTTTGTGTACTCTTCGTCTAATTGACCAAACAAGAGTCTGTCATGATGTGTTTTGGTCTCATAGCTCCCTCATTACAAACTCACTGAAGCCTGATCTCAATCCCTGAACAATGTGACCTTGATCTACAAAAGACAAAATTAACTGTCTCTTAAAGGAGATCATTTTAAACATCCGCTCTTCTTGGATGACTTTCTTTTTCCTACTAACAATTTCCATCCAAACAAGTGACGTGACTCATCTTTTTTGTAAAGGTTTGTCAAAGAGGTAAAATGAGGAGCACATGGGAAAGTATTTCAAGATCATCATTGGCTTACAATGTAGAAACATATTCTAGCTCCCCATGGGGAAATGTTTTCCTCCTTCAGACTAGCTATTAGGTATGGTAAGTCTGAAGTGGCTCCTTCGTGTCAGAGAGCAGCTTTTTCCTCTCATGTCTTGGAAAACGATTTCCAATCTTAGACAGACACAACCTCCAATTATCACTATAAGGGCAGCTAGACACCAACTTCCTCTCGTTGAGGTCTGATGCTTTAATCCATTACTAATATTTCCTCTCTGAACATTTACTGGCCAGCTCAAAACATGGCGTACAGTCCAAACAGGCTTACCCGGTGACCTCTGACCTCAGGACTTGCTGCAGGTGGAGCCAGAAAGCAGCTGAAGTTGTTGACACAGGAATGATGGATACACTTGAGCCTAAGAAAAGACAGGAAAAACATTTAGACACACATCAGTCCTCAGAAGAACAAGGTACCATAACCAGAAAAGTTAATTATGTTTTTTTGTTATTATCATCTTTTCTTAATCTTGGACAGTTCACCATATTTACACTGCAGCCAATGTCCTCTTACATCATGCTCAGTTTAGGAAGCTCAGGTAAGTTTTTCTAAGATCCAAATCTTGTGTAAGGAATCTGACAATCATCATTTAATGGCAAGTTAAAATGATACCGACCAGTCTGAAGCAAGCCTGGTAGTAATTTTTTCTATCTTCACGTAACAACAAAGTTTGCATTCAACCATTTTGTAGCAAACATGGATGTTAGCCAGTTATTTGTCTTTTTATTTGCAATAACACAATCAAACTTTAATGTTAGCCTTTAATTATTTCCTAACTAACACTAATGTTAGCTGCACAATGAAGTGTTTGAATGTTATTGTTACCTGTTGTCAGATGTTAGTTACATAAGTCTGACAAAATGTGGTGTTTTATTTTGAAATATGGACTAATGTAGTTTCAGATTTTTGTTGTCTTTTCAGTTGCTGATCAATCTAAAGCAGTGAAATCATCATAGAAATTATAACAAAGTAAGATTATCTTGGTTAAAACTACATCCAGATCCAAGGACCAGCCTGAAATCTCACTGGTCGCTGTAGCAGCCAACATAAAATCCTGAAGTATGCGTAGCTTTTCTTTAAATGTGAGGTGACACCTACATGTAAATCAACACCTTTGGTTTTGTTTAATGGCCTCTTCTTCTTCTTTTTCTTTTTTTTCTTTTTGCATTTTTTTGCATCTTAAGAGGCTGCTAGTACTTCTTTGCATGTCAGTGTGGAACTGTTTCTTTTGCTGGTTCTGACTTTAGACAGACTTCTTCTTTTTTAGTCCTTCAGCAGATTTAAGATGTGACTCAGTAATGTAACCCATAATGGTAAAAAATACATATATATATATATATATATATATATATATATATATATATATATATATATATATATATATATATAAACAAGAAGAAACCTTGTATTATTTTACTAAATTAGACAGGATTAGTGGTGTTAACCTCCTCTTGCTGGGGTCTCCCCTAGAGTCCATCATGCCTGCCCACCCCTACAATGGTCAGTGCCCCAGTTTGGCCACCCCTGTCAAAGAAGTCTGGTCGAAACAACTTGTAACCTGAAACACAGTAGCATGACTTTTCAGTGGGAGCTTCCTTCCTTGTGCATGATACAAATGGAGTAAGAAGGTACGATACGAATTGAAACGAAACGATACGATACACTACGCTACTACAAGATATGATGCGATACGATTAGATACGATAAGATAAAATAATATAAGATAAGATAAAATAATATAAGATAAGATAAGGAGAACTTTATTTTATACCAGGGGGGGAATTAGAAATTCAATGTGTTAATGTGGTTGAAAATTTGCATAAACCTCAAAGTCAGTTAGCCGCTCTGGTATTTAAACTGCATTTTCCCCCTGAAATCAAATCATTTTAAAGTGTTTTTGTCAAAGTTTCCCTTCTCTCTGAAGCCGCTCAGGTTGGGTGGGTGGGCCTGTGACACTCTGTAAATGTGTTCCTTCATCAGTCAGCCTCCACTGTGGTCTGGCCAGTCTCATCCAGCCTAATAAACATTGATTAGCTCACATAATCAATGCACTCAATGACAATGATTCAGTGCGCTGCATAAATGTATCGACTGCAATCAGCTATAAACAGCAGCCCTCTTTTTTCATGCATTTTCTGCTTTTTATTAGACACGTTGTGATGGAACAATAATTGGACGAGTCTCTGTAGAGTTAACAGACATATTTCATTAAGTGATATCGAGATGAGAGAAAAATCTATTGACCATCTGTCTAATATTTTTTAAATAAATAAATAATTGTAGGAATGACTAAAAACATGTTTGCAGAAGAGTTTGGCTCTCTCAACAGTGACCAGCAGGTGGCGGTGTTTAGCTGTTGTTGGATTCAAAGCACCAGGTGACTTTCTTATCCTGAATGTTGTACATTAAATATTTTTTAAACCGAGCACAGGTGAGTGAGCAGCAGCAACAATAAAATAAAATAGAAAATAAGAAAAATAAAGAAATATTGTTCTTAAAATTTTATTAAAACCAAAGGACCTCAATAACCAAAGGCAGTGGAAACTGTTTGATTTTCTGCTCAAGTTAATTCATAAGCAACTTTTATATTATGAGGATTCAACCCAGGGTGCTTCATAAAGGCATAGAAAGACTAAAAATTACAACTAGAGGCTAAATAATAATAACAAAGAACGGCTAGAAAGATGTTTTTTTTCAAAACTGAAAGACAAATAAAAAGGTAGGTGTCTGAAAATGACTTTGAAAAACATGCCACTGTGACATCCAGAGGCAGAGAGCTCCGCAGTCTTGGTGCATAGACACAGAAACCCCCCTGGCAGGATCTTGTAATGAAAAACTAGTTTCGCCACCTGCGTTCAGGTACAACACCTGAAACGACATCTAACCTGTCAGTCGGGGTGAGGAAAGTTTTTGGGGAATACCATCACACACCTTTCTGCCTATTAAACACCAGCCAAGATCCAGAAAAAGAGCCTCGTGATTGATCACCTTTCACTTGACTTCTGTACTGAGTGAAAAAGTGCAGGAGGAAAACCCCAGCAAGAAGCATGTAACTTTTCTACTCCTTGTTTCTGTGGCCATGCATGACCAGGTCATATAATGAATGTTGATAAAGTAGAAAAGCTGGTTTAATCAGGACGGATCACTGTGCAGAGGTGGAGAATGTCAGCGAGAGCAGGCACAGCTGCTCAGTGAGAAATCCAATATTGACTGTCGGGATAAATGTCCTGCATATTCTCTCATGTGTCCCAGGGGCCGTGGTATTATGCCTCTCACGTTAGCACTCCTAATTGGATTAAAAATGGCTTGTTATTGGGAGAAAAATGACTGAGAAAACTAGCATGATTATTGCCTCTCAACAATGTTGGCTCCCAGAGCTGAGGAGGTGAAATAATTGTCATGGATTTGGAAAATGTCAAAACGGCACAGTGCTGTTTGCTTTGAAGTAAACAGATTGATTTTGCTTTGAGACGATGCAGACAAAATTACATCCGTATTCTGCTGCAAAAGAATCCCACTGCGTGCAGCGTCCCTGGTGTTTATACAACATTTTGATGCATTTTCAAAATCCTACATGATCAACTTCTCTTTCTGTGTGTGTGTGTGTTAGCAGGTAGACATGTGCTGTAGGTGTGGAGGCATGGTGGTGAATACATGCATGAGCAGAAGTGAAACAGACAAATCCATCAGAAATCCTCTGGGTTTCGGTTTGTGTACCACCAGGAGCAGCCATTAACAGAAAATAAATGCCTGACGCCATAAAGCTGACAGTGTCTCATCCATACTGACACTCTGGCTAAATTAAACATAAAAGCACTGATAACATCATCATTAAATATTGATTTTAAGGATGGCTGAAACAGAAAACACATCCACATGTATGCTTCAGATGAGGCGATTTGGATGGGAGTCAAAGCCGAGCGAGCAGAGTGGTTAGAAATCTGGCAGACGAGGCAGCTTCCTTGGGAGAGAAAGATGGACAGAACAGAAGAAGAGGAAAAAAGGAGAGAGAAGAAGAGGAAGAGGGGGTGGAGGGAGAGAGGTAAAAGATTGGAGTGGGGAAGGGGGGTAGAAAGAGATTTAAGGCTGAGGCTCAGAGCAGATGTTAGTGTTGATGATGATGGATGCAGGTTGTTGAGATGCAGAGTTGTTATCATGAGAGGCACTCGCAGCCTCCTCACGGCACACTTTTCCCCCAGATGTCACTGCATGTGCATTTGTGTGTGTGTGTGTGTGTGTGCATGTGTGTAAAACAACAGTGGAGAGAGAGAGATGCTTAAATGAGCAAACCACATGCCCAGATTTGCTAAATCTACTTAGTCTTTGTTGTTTTTTATGAAGTTGTTGGTTGAAAATTTTGGAAAGCGAGAAATTTACCTCCTCACTCCAAACTTATATCCACTTAAGACGTCACGGCGAAAGGACAGAACCAATAAGAAACATAAAAAGGAGAGTCAAGAGACTGATTGGCACAGATGAAGCTAATGAACAACTATCTTTGACACTCTATGGTGCAGACACAGTGACATACTGCTTCCTTGAAAGCTCTAAATTGGGTTAATTTGGAGGGGGGTTTGCATTCTCTTGCATTACACTGCATATCACTAGGTGACCACATACACTCCTGCAGTAATCTGGATTCACTAGAGAAGAAACGCATGCATAGGCAGCAGGTGGTGTGTGTGTGTGTATGTGTGTGTAAGTGTGTGTGTGTGTGTTAATGCTGCATGCTGAGTGGTAACCTGCCCCACACTCTAACCAGATAAAAGGTGCAGGACAGAAACACGTCAGTAATTGATTGCTAATTAGTTCTTTTGTTGTCGCCCATTGTGTCCTGACAGAGCTTTGCCCCCAGCTGTCTATTCACACAGTCCTCACACGGAGGAAATAAGGAGAAAAGGAAAGGAAACAAGCATGGCAGTAAGACGAACGGGTGTTACCTCAGCAGGCAGAAGATGCTGCTTGACTTCTTTGCATGTTTTAAAAAATTTGTGATGTAGCCGATCTTAAAGCTGCACTGAAAATAAAGAAATGAACAATAATCTACAATATGAAGGCTTTTTGCATTTGAAGGGCCTGTACAAACCGAGAAGGACATGTATTTATTCTAAATGATAACAGTATTAAGATGTTTAGAGTAGTTTCTGTCAAAGGGGGAGATTTGTGCGAAAGGTAGGACGTTTAAATAGAAAGGGAGATACACCGTATTTTAAAAAATGTGTAACAAAATAAGGCAACAAATACGAAACCAAGGAAACATAAAAGTCAGATTTCATTCTTGTCTCTGAGTTCAGGAAACTATTATTTTGTATTTTTGTATAAAACATTTGAAACTTTCAGTTTTTTTGCTTTGTTCTTTTAGAGGACCAACCCAGTTATGAAATGGTGCCCATTGAAATTGCATTATATAAAAATGGCCGCCAACACAAATGTGCTGTGGGAAGGACCTGGTAACTTGATAAGCTCTGCACACAGGACTTGTATTTGTTAAAGAAGATAAAAGTTATAAAGTAACGTGTGAGCACAAGAAGATTATACTGAGCTCACAAGATGATCAATCGTGTGCACAAGATGGTAACATTTGCCCTCAGTATAGTATAATATAAACAAGATAATTACTTATGAGCACAAGGTTATACTTAATGCAGAAGAAAACTAACTGTGCACCCAAGATGATAAATTGTGAGCATAAGATGGTGACTTGTGTGCACAAATAAAAGCATTTTGTGACCAAGATGTCTTTTGTTCACAAGATTAACATCATTTTGTTGTTAGAGACCTTTGAGGCTCTGTATCAATTTAACATCAGTGTTTTTTCCAATAAGGTAAAGGGCATTGTTGAGATGCTGAGTTAAATCCCAATACCAAAATTACTGTGTTATAATATCTCTGTTATGGAAAAATGCAGAATATCTATATTCTAAGAAACACCAGGATGCATCTGGGTATCATTCCATGATTGGGGATGAAGTGACAGATTCCCTCCCTCATGTGTCCAGCTGTACTCTGTTGTACAGTATGTGTCGCAGCAGACTATATGCCATCTCCACTAAGTTACCATGCCCACATCTCTCTCCCTCTCTCATCAGTGCATGAGAAATTACCTAATGAGGAATGGGTCGCACATTTCCACAAACTCATTAACCCGCGAGCGAGTGAGACTAATTGCAGCGTTTGGGTAATGTGATTTCACATCTGTTACTGCAGACCAGGACACAGTATAGTCAGCACAGGGCCTGAATCTGGTGGGCTGAGCCACACCTAGAGCTACATTTAACAGAACAGCATACACAGAGACGCTCACAGGGAGCTGCTACTGCAGCAGCTCCAGCCTGGATGGGTGGAGCTGCAGTCAGTTGGGCTGGTGCTTTAAGGTTTGATCAACTGTTGTCATGCAATATCTTGTCATTAGATTCCTCCACAGGGAAGGTGGGCCACCTGCGTTTAGTCTGCAAAAATGATAGGCTAGAACATAGCTGGGGCGGTTGGTGAAGAAGTAAATATACAGTATATGAAAAATCAGTAACCAAACAGTCATTAAAGTAAAGAAAAATGTTATTGATTTGGGTTTTCTTTCTTTCTCCCAAATGATGCTTTCTTATTATGAAACTGTCAGCCAGGTGAGGAGGATTATCTTACTGTTTTTCTCAAACGAATGGTTGTTCTAACACCTATTTCCACTCCAGATTCACACAAACTGGAATGGTCAGTGGGTAAAAACATTCTGATACCCTAGTGTTTTCCCTTACCAGAGACATGAAGTATGCCCACCTCTTGAACTTGTTGATACAAGGTCATGTTACAATTGCAGATTAAAATGGATTTCACCAACACAAAATGGTCCTTTAAGGGGGTGGATTTTATTGCATCAAAAGTATGTTTAAAAGTGCTTTGCATTGATCCAGGAAAGTAGTCCTGATTGGCATCTGAATGAGACGCCTATAAATACTTCAGAAAATAAAACTAAATGTATTCTTTATTGTATGTTGGAAAACTTAGTTTTTGAATTCAAGCTAATTTTGTAAAACACAGTGTTTCACACACACACACTCCGACTCACAAATGTGAAGCACAGAGAGAAATAAATGATTTTTCAGGGTCTTGACTTGGGTTGGTATTTTCAATAATTCACTAAATTACTGCAAACAAATTTATGTTAATAGAAAAGGTGGGAACCAACTGTTTAATATGGGAAAGTAATATACTTTTGTTAATTATGATTAATCTTTTGTTTAACCCCCCTGCATTGTTACAGAAAGTCCAATTAGAAGTTTACAGGCAGAGGGACTGCTTATGCTAATGCCATATCTCATCAATTAGCATCCCGTGACCGTAAATTGGCCTCAGCGCTGACAGCGAGATGAGGTTAACACGCTGAGGAATCTGAGCTGCTGTGATTTGAGGCTGCAGTTGACACTTATAATCTTCGACACAATACACACACACACACACACACACACACACACACACACACACACACACACAGCGAGGTCGGCTCACTTGGAGAAAATGTTATTTACTTTTGTGAAGCTGAGTTTACTGACATTCCCTCTCAAATCAACATAATTTTGAGTTTGAGTAACACAAACAAGCACAGTATTTGAATAAAAGCCACATGATCAAAAGGATGCAAACTCCTTGTATGCATGTACACTAAAAGAAGCTAGTCTTAATGCTGAACCTGAGATAATGAAAATGTGTGTATCCCAACTTCAAGAAGCCAATTTAGACTCATAAGTCAAGCACAAGAACGAGCAGGACCTCATCCTTAAAAGCGTGCGACACTCATAATTTTCTTGTTTTGTTTGTTGTACTTTTCAGAGACTATATCAACTCAGCTACCAATAAAGAGACATTAGTAAATACAAGAAATTTCTTTATATATTTCCAATGAGAATTCCTGCGAAAATCAGTCTCAGGAAACCCCGAACAATCTGTTTTCATCTTTTAATTTAGCAAATATTTCAATTTTTATTTGTTAGGGTTGTACTAATCACAATTTTTAGATGCTGACTGGTTGGTGGAAGTCAAAGCTATCAATAAACTGCAATTTTGACTCTAGAGGAAGACTACAGGCATATCCTGTCACTATATTCTACATGGTGTATAACATTGTGAGTTTTTAGTTTATATGATATAAAGTCTCTTTCTCTCCCTCTGTTTTTATATTAAGTCTTATAGAAGTAAACTGCACTGTGCAAATAAAGATATCTTCAAAATTCGCCAGAGAATCATCAGTTACTTGACTTCAAATTGGTGATTTGCTTATTAAATAACTTTTACGGCGCTTCAGATTGACTGTTTTCTTTTTGTACATATGGCCATTTTGCAACTTAGGAATAGACCAATGCACATCAGACCAAACTGTGATACTTATTAATAGGATTACATACAATCCAAGCAGTCCTTCAAAAACAGAGGCTTTTTTTCTTCCACCTCCCCTGGCAAAACTTGAGCACATATTACAAGTTTATTTCTGCTGCAACTACTTGACTATGCCATTTCAGCTTCAGGGGGTATAAGACAAAAGCAGCCAACCTTAGCCTTAAAACCACAGCTGTAGAAACAGAGATATAAGTGACTGCAGACATAGAGTCAAACAGGCCCATGATCCCTCCTGTTTGGCTACAGTCTATCCAATCCCTTCAGTGTGGGATGACCGTCATGGTTGAAGGCAGTGACCGTCACATATCAGACACTGACATCTTTACCACTGCTGTCTGCCACCATGAGACCACTCACCCTGCAGAGACCCTTTAACCCTGCATCTCACACAGTGGGGCGATATAGATAGACATATATAACTATCTACAAATACAGTAGGTAAGAGAGCAATGACTGCTAACCAATCAACTGTATTTGTTGGACCTAAAAGGAGAACATGTCCCAAATTAGCCTATAATACACTCTTACTTGGTGGACTGACTGTTGTGGTACAAATTGTAAAGTTTAAATATTGGGATTCTTGTCTAACATTGAATGGCATCAATAATCCAAAACAAGATAAGCTCAGTCAGGTCACATGTATTTCAAAGTGAAATCTGAAGGATCAAAAATGGGAGTTTTTTTCTTTTTAAGTTTAACAGAGACATGAATCATTCTGGTGTTGACATTCTTGAAAATTACTTTTATTTGTTTGTTCATTTTAAATCGGTACAAACCCGTCAATGTGGTGCATTTCGATGTAAGATCAAACATTTAAGAAATGTGTAAGTTATAGCACATACAATAAGTTAAAACATGTCACAAAAAAGACCAGCGGGTACATAGCAAGAATGTTTTCTCTACACAAAACATCCTAAAACAGAGTAGGCCTACTGAGGGATCATCATTGTTTGTTTTTCCTCTTTAGATTTGATGCAGACCAGGGAGGAAGCTCTTCTATTAGAAGTACCTCTTCCATCTGAGTGGGCACCGTTTTCTCCCTATAGTCATCCAAGCATTTAATTCCACGTGCACAGAGCATGCCTGAGACCCGCTTCAATATGTCCACTACAGTTTGGTGCGCGTGGTAGGCTGTATACCCCATCTTATAAATAACCTTCTGACATAACACAACTTCACCTGAACACAATAACATGTGTGCGTAAATACGCACGCTGGAAAAACGAAAATACAACGATTGGTTGGCTCTCAGTACTTAGGGCCTTTAGTCTAGAGATCATTACAATAGTATTCATCATCAATAGTTGATAAAATCCTTTTGAATTAACAAGATAAATAACCCCAAACCCAAGTTATTCCCCTCGTTTGTCCATCAGTCTCTTTTTACGCCTAGGTAAAGTCGCATTCAGTCTCCATATTCTCACATTTCAGGCCTGATTGGCTCGCTCGTTTTGATCTACACAGAGGGATTAAAATCAGAGAAAGAGGGGGCCTACGGGAGAGGGAGGTGGAGGTGGTGGTGGTGGTGGTAGGGAGCTTTTGAAAAGTCACTAAGTGAAACTCATAGACACTGTGTGCTCCAGCGCTTTGCGCCGCAGTGACGCGATGCTTGTCCCTCTCCACATGTCACTGTCCGGGGAGCTACACAGCTGCGGGGAGCCCGATACGTTCGTGGGACCAGATAGAGAGGCCGACATTCCGGGGAAATGCGACTGGTACAGGTGGGACTGCAGGCCGGAACCGTTGGAGGACAAGCCGTTGGAGAGACCCATGGAATTAGGTGGCGGGCCCGGGCCTAGACTGCACTGTGACAGTGACTGAGGCATGCCCGGCTGACGGCCCAGGGCCGGCGGGAGCTGCAGCTGGGACACCCCTGGCATCCCTGTAGCCCAGCGAGAGTCGTTGGCGTGGAAGGAGCACAGGCTGTTCTCCATAGCGGCCGCGGCGGAGAACTGAGGCAGACCCGGTGTGGGGAGGAGAGTCCCCGGGGCTCGGAAAACATTGGTGGTCTTCTTTCTCTTCTTCCACTTGGCGCGTCTGTTCTGGAACCAAACCTGCGAGCAGAAAGATAACACCGTGAGCCATCAAAGACCAGACGGTTTGACCATATCCTGAGCCGTGTTATCTCAAATTTCACGGTCATGAGATGGTATTAAAGCGGGTCCCTGCAGGTGTGTTATTACTATACTGAAAAAACATTTAAACGCGCTAATTTTGGGACAATCCCATCACATCAAGAGAAGCCAGGTGGCAACAAAGAAAATGAAAACAACAAAACACACAAAGTAACACACGTGTAGCCAAAAACAGCCTGTGCAGTGACTGGGAAGTACGCCCATCGGCCCTATAGGTAGAATTCACTTCCATTAGCCAAAACCAAGTTCTTTATCTGCAATAGGTCCCTGCTTATCTCTGATATTTAACTGTGGGAAAATACTGAATTATAAAGCGCACGAACTGACAAAAAAACCCTCTGAAATTTGATGAAGGTGCTCGTGGAAATATAGTCTGCAGCTTGCCAAGAAATCCAATGGATGCAGGCTACCCTATTGTTATAGCCCATATATCCAAATATCATAAATGAGGTTTTGTGAAATGCAAGTTCAAATATTTTGCTGTTTTTAATGAATCCCTGGAATTTATACCAAAAAAGTAAAAATCCAGGATTTGAAAATTCAAGTTAAAGGGGACGCTTTGCAGAGGAACAGAGCAATTGCAGTGGGTTTATTTCTGGCCGTTCTGCAGCAGAGGGTAACGTCATTTAGCTTTCTAACATTTAATTTACAAGCAGATTAAATGAAACGTCCTCGATGTTGGTGCTCCTTTACGCACAGACCGTGTTGTTCTTTACACGAGCCAGGTGAAAATACAGCAGCCAACCCGACCATCCACAAGCTCGCGCGAGAACCATAAACACATTTGCCCACGTCCACAATTTTTAAGGCACGTGCGTCCGTCCCTGTTGGTCTTTCTAAAGATTTCATCATCTTCGGCCGTGATTAATGCGCGCGCGGGGCCGTGAGTCGATGCCTCCGTATTAAAAGTGAAATCTCGCTCTCATTCCGCCCAGCCATCCGTGAAACGTCGCCCAAACCCATTACACTCCGGGGGAAAGAAAATGCAATCTCTCATTCCATTAAAAAAGTACAATATATTCTTGAGTCCTATTAAGACGTCGCTGATGGAGCATTTTAGAAACAGAGAGGCTGTGAAGGCACGCGCGCACGCGGGCAAACACGCCCCCTGAAGGGCTGCACCTGTCCGGCCTATACACTTATGTTTACAAACAGAGCACGAGCTGAACTGAGCGGTTATCTGCCGCACGAGGTCGGATTAAAGATTGATTATTAAGGTGACTAATGATGAAGCTGCTTTTATTGCTTTCACTGGGATCATTTGCATGAATTTCACATCACTGCTTAATAAGCCGTTCACTGTTATAAATAAGACTGAAATTGGCTGATAATGTGTTTGCTTTATCAGAGCTCGGTATATTCCTGTATGTGGAATAAAATAAAATATCTTGTTTTTATTTAAATAATTATTTTTTTCTATGTTTCCTTGGTAAAATACGGGCTAAAGGCTGTACCTACCCTAAACATTCAGTTAAATGGGGGCCATTTTAAAGCTATTTTCCAGATGGACTCTGACTTTTGTCATTATTTCTATCAAGGTAATTCTTTTTAATTTCTAAAGTTAAGTAATTTAAAAATATTTGAAACACCTACTGTATGTGATTTATTAAGATTATAGACCAAAGTGTTCAAAATCGCTATAGCACACGAATCGATAAAATACTGGAAAAATTGAGAAAAAAAAATCAAAATATTTTTCTGACAGAACCGATTCAGTCCCTGCAGGTGGTTTTGGTATTTTTTCTGCTAACATATATTAGAATTTATCTCAATGTGGGAAATTTGTGATCCCCTGTTTCCTACTCGTGATTGAGAGGTGAAAAGTCTTCAGCACCTTGGAGAGCTCTCAACGCTGCTTCATAAAACTAATGTACTTAACCACGAAGCGGTTTGATATTTACAAATTATAGGAAATTTTAAATTGGCTTATTCAAAGTTTGAGTTGTCAGATTTTTAAGACACTCATATTGGAATGACTTTACACCAGGCAAGCTATAGGTACATTTTTGAGGTTCGTTTTTGGGTACAGAGTGTATACTATATATACTCTGCTATACAGAGCTGTTTACACGGCCACTAATGAAATATTCTGTCTCTGTAAATCTAACCTTTGCCTCCAATACAAATACACCTAATAGCCAAACTATATTTTGGAGAAAAATCACAAGAATCTCCTTTTAACCAAAGTAGAAGTGATAATATATTCTAATACACACGGGATGACCCTTCCTAAACAACTCAATCCACTGTTACTGTGCTGTTTATCCAGTCTACTCTTAAATATATATATATATATATATGTATATTTATACATTTTAATGGTGCTGAAAAACCCACAAACTCCACTAACTCACATCTAGACCAGAACCACAGCCCGCCACATCATGCCAACGCTTAGATCAAAAATCCTCCACACTGCACATGTGTTTACCTGGACTCTGGACTCCGTCAGGCCGATCCTCAGCGCCAGTTCCTCCCTCATGAAGATGTCGGGGTAGTGTGTTTTGGCGAAGCTTCGCTCCAGCTCGTTGAGCTGTGCCGGGGTGAAGCGCGTCCTGTGCCGCTTCTGTTTCTGCTGGCTGGAAGTCTGACCGGAGCTCTGCTGCGGCTGCTGCTGCTGCTGCTGCTGCTTCTCCGGCTCCTTCCCGTTCACCGGCATGCCTCCAGAGTTCGATCCCACAGAGGAGATGTCTTCTCCCGGCAGCAGAGTGGTTCCCTCGACGGAGTCTGAACCAGGGGCCATGTCTCCCGGATGCCCCTGGTCCGGCACCCCGCCACCCAGCCGGCACTTGAGAGCCTCTCTGTGTCCGAGTAACTCTGCAGCATCCTTCATCCCTGAGGGGACGGGGAGGAGAGTAAATAGGCTATATGTAGGATCTTCGAACGCAGCATCTTAAAATCAGAGTCACATGCAATATAGCTTTGTCTCTCAATGGAAAACACATCAGTTCAAAATATAAAACAGCAAATAAACTTCATGTAAATCAAGTCGAAATTTTACACCGCAATATTTCCTGTCAGATACATTGAGATGATGAAAGAATAGCTTCTAGAAACAATAAACCATTTAGCTGTTAACACAATTAAGCATACAGTCTATCTATCACTTCACAAGGGGAAATAAGAAGTTGAAGTCTTACACTGGAGTTTAGGGCCGGAGTTTAGTGATGATAACTCACCGAGCCGAGCATCCAGGAGGTCGGCGTGAGAGAGCATGGCGTACCGCTCCAGGGCGAACCGCGCTCCAAAAAAATCCCACAACTTTGGGGCAATTTAAAAAGTATATATGGTCTAAATGAACGAAAATTCGGTTTGTGGTTAAAAAAGGAGGTCCCTTGCATTATAATATCCTTTAGAGCGACGGGGAGGCGCTTATTAGTTGAAAGAACCCGTGAGCTTCCTCAAATAAGAGCCAATCAGAGCAGGAGCCTGGAAATGTCAGCGACGTGACTCCCCCCCTCTCTCTTTTTTTTCTACACTTTTACGCACGCACCTTTGCATGCGCGCGCAGACCAAAACGCGCACGGAAACACTACAATTCAATTCAATCCTGTGCCATTCCGTCCTCTGATTTATTAGCTTTTCATGCTTAAATTATTCCACGTTAAACATCTTAATGTGTTTGTTTAATCTCATATATTCGGTGCCATGACAGGACTGTAGTTTGTAGATGGATATACGCGTAAAATACCGTAAGTGAGCTCGTGCACTAGCTTGCTGAAGGAGATATAGGAGTTGACAATTACTTGAGCCAGAAAATACATCGCCATTAAGTAATTAGGCATATAAAAATCTCAATTTTCAAATCACCGGGCTGTGTCAATGAGCCTGTTTACAAAGATTAAGCAGAAAGGGAGGATTCATTTCCCAAATTAACAAAAAATCCATAAAATTAAGACGATTTTCAAGCTTATTACCTAAAATAAATACGGTTTTTTTGTCTTACAGGAAGAGCAGCAGATTAGCAGGTGTGGATTTCAGTTTAAAATAAAAGATATATGTGATGAGAGATGCCTTTTAAAATCAGGCCTCCACTGTGCACCCCTGAGCCCCTCTTCCCTCCCGTCCTTGGATCACAAACAAAACGAATATCGCTCCCATTCCCCCCTGGCAGGTGATTTGTGGAGACAAATGGAGGAAATAAATAAATAAACGAGTACAGATGGATTTAAGCTCTGTTAGTGATCGGCCGCTTTAACTCCCATCGACTTTTCATCAAGACGCGCGCAATTAAAGGTATTTAGGCCTGTTTGGCTCCCTCAGAATCAGACGTGGTGGACCCTAAACGATTGTGCCCCTCTAACAGAGGTCCATAAGTAGGTCTATTATACAATTAACAGGACAGCCATTGATCTACTCCTCCAGACAGTGCTGGTTAGAGGGGGCTTTTGGCAGATGTCAGGGTGAGTCCGCTGAATAGACCACCGCCTGGGACTAAATGGGTTTCTCTGCAGCCGCACAAAGGAGGCGTCCGAGCGAAGACACACTTTCTCTCCTCTATCTCTCTCCTCTTCCTTCTACAGCTCATCTTTTATGCTCCTCAGCCGCAATCTGCCGGGACGCAGGGAAAGGAAGGCTACATGTGGCACAGCGTGAAAACTTAAGGAAATGGACCGAAGCATGGTCCACAGAGAGGGGGTGAGGGGGATGAGCTGGGAGAAGATCCCGGAGGGTCAGGGGAGGGAGAAATCAACAGCAATAGCAGCAGCAACAGATTCTGGACTCGTGTGAATGTGGACTCTAAAGTGTAACCCAGCAGAGAGGAGGAGAGGGGATGACCGAGCCAGATGGAAGGCCAGGGCTGCGTGTGCAGAGAAAACACGGTCTGTGTTGGATGTCTGGTCAGTGTATACACAAATACTAAACATAGGGGAGAAATGTTTTAAAGTATCCTCAATTCACATCACCCACACACCATACCCCTCCAAAATAAAAGATGAATAAAATAAAATGTTTTCACAAATGATACACGATGGTCTATAACAATATAACTAAAAATCGTAAAATTCCTTAAAACCACAAATAGAGAAAATGTTATATTACAGTGAATACATTCCAACTTATTTCAAGCACATTCATTTTATTAACTTATTCTCAAGAGTTTTTTATTTAAATCTATTTTAAACATTTATTAAAACAGAAATGCCAATACAGATCTTTTTTGTTTTTTAGATTAAAATTATTTAAATGACCAGTTTTTTTTTACGTTCAACTGTCATTATTTCGGTTATGGAAATGTGTCTTTTTAGTTGTTTTTTTTATTATTATTATTTTAATTTTTTTTTTAATTTTTAGATTATTATTATTAAAATGACCAGATTTTTTTCTATCGTGGAACTGTCATTATTTCAGTCATGGAAATGTGCCTTTTTAGTTTTTTTAAAAAGATGTCTCCATTATTTTTGGTGAATATTTTCTAAAATATATCTTTAACAAAAACAAAACCATTAATAAATATTTTTACAGAAAAATAATTACAATAATTATCAAATGTGTTAATTCGACAAAACAACAACAGCCTGCATGGTGCATGGATCATTTGTTTGACATAGTTGAAGCTCTTAAAGGACACAGCCTGATTAACTTATATATATGGATGTTCTGTATAACATTAACTCTTACTGCTCCCACTTAAGGCACGCGCGTAAATTCAAACCCCACGGCACGTGCACAAATTCAAAGTCCACATCTGTTTGACAGCTTGCTCATCCTCAGCACCTCCACGCTAAATCTTGATCTCGTCTGTGTTGCAGTGAAAACAGTCCGATAGCACATCTCCCCCTCAGCTGTCCGCTCCTCGTGCTCTAACTTCTCCCTCTAATAAGAGGAGCCCACATGAAATGGGTCTATGTCTCACTCAGCCTCCCTAACTGGACCGCATCAATCTTCCCGCGGTGAAAACACACACTCACACACAATCCTCGCGGGTTAATGCGGCGCATCTGAGTGCGGAACGACTGTTTACACGCGAGGAGACACTTTTAATGGAAGCGCACCAAAAACAAATGCAATTTTGTAGAGCAATTTCAGAGATCAAGAATTCCGTGTCCGCCTTCTCCGCGCTTTTTTAGCAATCAGAGTGCGTTAAATCCATTGCTCATATGTGGGCCTTTGCAGAACAGGTTAGAATAACACAGGAGACACAACACTGCACGTGCAGGAATAAGATCTCTTACAGCATAAACACGTGGTTTCTTCTGTTTCAGGCCTATTGCAGCGCCGGGTAGGCATCTACATTCACTCGGTTATAGAAATCTAAAAGGAAAATCGATTTTCCAATGTGCAGAAACGGCTCTCTAACAGAATCACACAGTATTTGTGCTGCTGATTTGATGACAGGCGGAGGAATAAGAAGCGAGGATCTATGAGTGTGCTGTATCCAAGCAGGAGAGATGCAGAGAGGAGAGCCACAGGCAGGCAAACCCATTACAGGCTCCCCTCTCCGGACACCCAGCACTGCTACACCACCCTGCGCATCTCATGCCCCAATTAGAGCCTCTGCCCTCCGCCTGCTCTCCGTTACCGCGTGATCTGCTGCACGGAGCGGTAATCACGGCTTTCAAATAAAATAATCAGCAAAGGAGAGCCATTTCCTTAATGAGGAGGAAGAGGCGTGTGTCACGGAGGCTGTGTGTGTATGTGTGTGTGTAATGTGTATGTGCGCGTGTGCTCGGTGGTGGATTGGAGGTTATTAAAATAGCAATGAAAGTCACAATAGGTGTCATTAACAGAGTGGTGTTCAGAGTCTCAGCAGCTTTAAAACTGCCTCATTACTGCTGCTGTTAATATTGACCCCACGCTCAGGTGTGTGCCTGTGTTCAGGATGCTCGTTTCAGAGAGGAACAAGAGAAACAGCACGTGGGAACTACCTGGAGCTTCACATATAGAGCGAAGTGGTTCATCAACATTGGACATAGAGTCTCTTAAAAAAATGCAACCATACATTTACACTTGGGTGGCCTTATTTATTATCTTTATTTTTCTTTTTTTTTAATTAAATTTTTAAAGGTACTAAAAAATCTTAAAATTATTATTATTATTATCATTATTACTCTTATTTATTTATTTATTTTTGTGCAACCAAACATTACACTTCATCAAGTTGTCCCATACCAGTGAGGACCTGCTGATAAAAAAATAAATAAATGCAACAATATATTATCTATTATCTTTATTTTTCTAGCTTTTGTTTGAATCTTTTAAGGGTACAAAGAAATCTAAAAAAAATATTATTTTGATTATTATTTCTATTTTTTTTTTCAACCAAACCTTAAACTTCATCTAGTTGTTCCATACCAGTGAGGACCTGCTGATGTGATGCCTCATAAAAATACCACCTCTTCTCCATAAAGTCTCAATATATAGACTGTTCAGCTTAAGTTCTCCGAGTTCACCGTGACTTAAACATCTGATCTAGTCACCTTATGGTCTAAATAGTGTTAGCCATAAACAACATGAACAACAGGCTCCAGAGACCGCTGATACACAATCAAAATATGCGTTTAACCAAATCAAGCATGTATTACTTTGTCCATTAAAAGCCAAACGTGCTAACACACTGTGCCAAAAAAGCCCTTTTTAAAATGTTCCTGCTGTAGTTTAATTTGAAAGATTTCAGCATTGACACAATGGTGCATCATATAAATGACTAAAATGCTGACAATCCATAAAAGTAAAGTGACCAGTTTCAAAATCAAAGCTGTTTTCCCCTCGGTCTGAAAAGTGGACATTTAGGAAATGAAAGGGTTTAAGGCCAGCAGCAAAACAAATCTTCTCTGAAATGTGTTTTGACAGCTTATTGTCTGAGAGGTTTGCAAGATAAAACCATGATTCTGCTGGATCATGAGCCCTGTATGTTTTCATTATTTCTCACCACTGGCAGCAGAGTAAAGGTGCTCGACTTGAATGTGCTTTTTCTGCGCCTTAATTTAATTTCCATGCATATATACCCTCAATTATTTAATCAATCCTGCCTTAATTAAAGTAAAGAAATATATTTTCCTTAAAAGGTTAGTATATTAAGCCTGTTAATCTTTCATATTTTCAGTCTGACCTCAGTCATTTAGTCTCCTCCATGCAGTCGTCTGCAGATCTAATTCCTTCTCCTCCCTGACACCTTGACTTTCCCTCCAGTTCTGCTCCAGCTATTAGAATATGTTCTTTCTTAAGTCTGGTCATTAGTTAGCTCCATTACTGTGGCTCCATCATTAGGAGGCTTAATGCATCATTGAAGGTAATGAGTGCCTTACATTACAGGTGCCAGCCTGCTTCAGACACTGAGGGACACTCTGCAGACTGAAAACAATCCAAGTTTTCTTCA